CACCACCTGCCCACCCCGGAAATGGATGCTTACTAATTTATTTACCCCCTCCTCATCACCCTTGCAGATGCCGGGCACCCGGCAACCCCTCCCTCTTATTAGGAGAGCCTTCCCAAAGCGGAAGGTAGCATATTGCCCTCCAGGGCTTAGATTCATAGTTAGGAAACTGCCTTGTATTCTATATTTTTCTAGCTTACATGGCTGGGGCGGACCAGGGGCGAGAGGGCAAGGCAGAGGGCGAGGACACGAGGGGCAAATGAGGGGCAGATGGGGGGCGAGAAGGTGGGGCAGAGGGAGAGGACGAGGGTGAGGGCAGAGGGTGGTGAGGGGTGGACGAGAGGCAAGAAGGCGAGGCAGAGGGCGAGGGAAAAGCAGAGGGCAAGAGGGCAAGAGGGCAAGAGGGCAAGGCAGAGGACGGGGGAGCGAATGAGGGGCAAGGGCAAGGGTGAAGGGTGCCCCCAATCATGCCCCCGCCGCTGTCCTCATTGTGCACCCATCCTCGTTGTGCTCCGTCCTCATCGTGCTGTTGTCCTCGTCGTACCCCCGTCCTCGCTCATTGCCATTGCCATTTGTCACTGTCCTCGTTTGTCGCCATTGTCGCCAGTCACCCTCCCCATTCATTGACATTGTCGTTCGTGGCTGTCATCGTCCGTCACCATCTTTGTCTGTCACTGTCCCCATTCATCGCTGTGGTTCGTCCGTCGCGTGTCATTTTCCATTCGTTGCTGTGGGGGGGAAGAGGGAGGGGGAAGAGGGAGGGTGGGGGCGCGTTCAGCCATGTCAGCTAAAAATCTATATCAAACCCTGTGTTTAGCCAGTGTGACCTCACATGTCCAGACCATGTTTGAGCAGTCAGGCTCTCCAAGGCTGCTGGGGTGAGTTTGCCGGAGATGCTGGGGCTATAAGGATTTGTTTGGGGGCGGGAGGGGGTAAATAAATGACCAAACAACCCTCCCGGGTGGGGCAGGGGTAGGGTAGGCCTTAGGGGGCAGGAGGGGTGGGAAATGCAGAA